CTCGCCGCTCCCCGCTCGCCCCCGTCTCTCATCGATCGATGCGTGACTCCACCTCTCGCTATCGGATCTTGAGAGATGTCAACAAACACACCATTTTGCATGTTGCCGAGTCCGGCCTTCCGCTCCTCCGTGCACTTATTGGCTCAGACGTTTTTCTGAATTCGGCCGATAATAATTACGATTTTGTAAAATTTTATATAACTTTTCTTCTCAGTTTAACCCAATCTACTATAATCTTTGGAATTGTCCATATCGAATCAGACACCCTGTATATTATATTGTATATAATATATAAAACGGATTAATTAATTTGTTAAAATGTGTATAACATATCTCTTATGTTTTTATAAAATACGCTATATTTTAATTATAATTTAGTGATGAAAATCAAGACTATTTATATCGTTTTACATTTTCCATTAAATCGTCAGCTGGCCAAGCAGTAATATATAATCTTTGATATCCAGCTACCACGAGAAAAATAAATTGAGATGTCCTCAACGATTGCCTCTAGATTAAATAATAGAATTGTTAGTTTACATAAATTTAAATTAAATGAATGTTATTAATGAAGAAAAATGATAACATGCCAGTTAAATGTATACGAACATACATGAATAATTGGAAAAGTACCACAAATAGCTCCTACTGCCATTATAAAGTTTGTCATAAAAAGCTTAAATTTTACAATATCTCTCGTTTCATCAACGAACCTAGTTGTTAGAAAATAATAATTTTATTATTCGTATTTTATATCATATTATCAAATTTTATTATGTTTGATATTAAAAAGATGTCCAAAAACTTAACATTTCTCTGACATTTTGATTACTTACTTGATTATTTCCTGATGTTTCTTGATGCACCGATTTACGTGTCGTGCATTCTTTGCCGTTTGTATTTGTAAACATAACATCTCTAGTCTGGCAGCTGAATATAATAAGAATACGGCAAACATGAGATCAACACTGACGCAAAGTCCACATTGTGTAATAATACAGACTTGCGAGGCATAGATGATAAATGTCACAATTGGCAATTCAGTGCGAAATGGATATATTCCTTCAGTAGGAAATTTCTGGGAGGTAAATATCGGTATGCAACAAAAGGTGATTACTGTTAAGAAATAGCATATTATAACAGATATATAAAAGAAGGCATAACGATCTATGTACTTTTGCAGAATGATCCTTTCATGGTCGTTGCAAGTTGAAAGAAAATTCTTTATCTCCGTCATGGCGTGCTAAATTGAATTATAATAATATTTTTAGTAGTAAGCTCACAAATATATTCAGCATTATGGAGAAAATCATACAATTACATCACATAATATTTTGTTTGAAACATAATTAATCGTCTATCCGGAAAAATTGTAACCGTGTATTCAAATGCATATCAGCGTGGTATCGAGTGTAATAAGATACTCTTTCTCTGATCTTTATAACAATATATTACTATTAAATAAACTATTATTAAAATGAATGGATAATCAAGTGAAGACTTCTAATTGTAAAACATTAACAAGTCACAACTGTCACAGGTAATAAGTAGTAAGTGACTTTTAAAGACAGCTTTTTCCTTGTTACTTGTCAAGAGGTTACAACACTCAGAGTTAAAAAAAGTCAATTTTTGGTGATTTTTTTCAGGAATATAATAAACGTAAATGAAAATCTGTTTATTTCTATTTATACATTGGAGTATAAAAAATATTTTCATGAATTTTTCCTTAACAAAATGGTGGCGCTAGAGCCTTGGATTCAAAGTACGGAAGTCGCCTCACGGACGGAAACGAAGCTCCTTCACCCTTTCAACTGGAACAAAATCCAAAGACTTTTGAAAAATATATAACATTTTCTTTCGAACTACGTATGGATTTTGCGATAAGTTGAAAATTATTGTTTATAAACACTTTTATGCAAAACTTTTGTAGCGAAAAGTGCAACTTTCTTTTCCAACGCGCACCATTTAAAAAAGTAAAGTAAAGTAAAGTGTGCAAATTAGAAATTTGCACGTGGCTTCCTCATGGAGGAAGCTTTATGAGCGAAATCTAATTTTTTTCGATGTTTCTTGAAAGTGTGCAATTAGAAATTTGCACATTGCTTCTTCAGCATTGAAGCATGCAAATTGGAAATTTGTACATTTCTTCCTCATCATTAAAGTAGGCAAATTAGAAATTTGCACATTGCTTCCATTGTTATGGCTTCCTCATAGAGGAAGCTTTAAAAGAGAAATCTAACTTTACTACGATGTTTCTTGAAAGTATTCAAATTAGAAATTTGCATATTCTTATTTCGCTCTTAAAGCTTCCTCTATGAGGAAGCCATGTGCAAATTTCTAATTTGCACACTTTCAAGAAACATCGAAAAAAATTAGATTTCGCTCATAAAGCTTCCTCCATGAGGAAGCCATGTGCAAATTTCTAATTTGCACACTTTACTTTACTTTACTTTTTTTTCTAATTATATATTATATTGTTCTTCAGTTTTTCTATCAAAATTTCATATATGATTCATTAAAATATGATTAATTAGTTCTTGAGTTATAGACATTTGAAATTTTTGGAAATCATTATTAAAGATAATTTGCGATAGTTACAGCAACCACAAACATTTCTCAAAAACAATTCAAAAGCACATAACTCCGAAAGTAGGGGAACCCGGGGCATAACGGGAACGCTAAGGTTAAAATTAATTTTAAACAAAATGAAAATACATAAATGAATTATTTTTTGACG